ATTAATTTAAATTAATGTTTTATACTCAGTTTTTCATACTGATAAAGAAAATAATATTCTTAGAATTATTAGAACAAGAAAAAGAGAAATTTAAATATCCTTTCTCAAAAGTAGTCGATTTTTACTTGAACTGATATTATCAAAGTATTTTGAATTTTTTTTTGACAGAAAGGAAGAAAAAAATTTTAAAATACATTTTCTTACACAGTTTGACGAGCTCTATCCAACCATATACAAAACATTGAAAAAAAAAAGTGATGCTAAAATTTTGAATTTCCCGCACCTTACTAGGAAATAGGAAAAAGGCAGGTCGTCATATCGACTCTAATGTCTAAGTTGAAGAAATACTACAAAAAATGAGATGGTGAATATTTTAACACAAGACATTGAACATATTTGAGTCAAGGATATCGGTATGGATGAGATAAAATAGAAGGCTAACATTGACATCCATAGCCTTCGTCATTTGCTTCGACACTGATATTTACACCCACCTACAATCATATTCTCAGCTTCTTTTAAATCTTTCTCACAGTGAAGCATTAGATACAGAACACAATAGTTAACAGTATAAATGTTAAACTATAGAAAGGAGTATATGTAACTATACAATACTGAATTTTTATTTCCTTTGACTTTCGATGATTTAACATAATTCACAAGAGTGAATGATATGTTAGTCGTGCTTCGATAGCTCAATGGTTGGAGCACTGGTCCGGATAACCAGTTATCATATCATGGGTTCGATTCCCGAATGAAACATATCATTTATTTTTCTGAATGATGTTAACCATCGAAAGTCAAAGGAAGTAAAAATTCAGTATTGTATAATAGTTAAAAGTGAAAAGTCATTTTAAAAATTAAAAATCAGCTTGTTATTGTAAAGTAAAATCAGTTAGGCCTGTCCGAGTATCAATTACATTTTATATTTTTCTAACAAAACCGTAGTTTTTATGAGAAGATCTTATTTTTCATCTGCCTTTGAAATTAACCAATATTCTGATATGGATGAATTCTTTTACAGATATCGCTTCATCATTAATCCTCGTTTCGGGTTCGATAGTCTCTATTTAGAAAAGTACACCAGTGCATTGATGGCTTTTCTGTCAGGTGGCACCAACGATTCAGCTAATAGTAACAGTTTACTACTTCTTCGCCTTTATGAGTGATCACAAAAAAATGAACTACATGTGGAACGAGTCAACATTTTTGACGACGGTCATCAGTATCGATTTGATGAAGGTCAGATTAGACTGAATCTGTCGGTCCACAGTTCAGTCGATCTGTAGACAGATCCAGCAGTCTAAAAACTGTACCAGGTCTATCCCTGGATAATCTCATTTGATCATATCAGTGTTCAAAAAATAATCCATCGCATAAGTTTATTTTAATTCCATAAAAGCAGAAAATCAAATAAGTTAGATAGATGATCGACCGGTCAGAAATCCAAAGCGGTGTGCAACTGGGTCCGAAAGTAATGGATATCATTTCCGTCTCAGAATTGGTCTACTAGTAATCCTTTGATGTGTAACAATTCTTTTTTGGTTTATTTTACTGCTGAAATAAAGTATATCAAGTATGTAGTCAATATATACTTGACAATTTCTTCTGAATGTGGAAGTACTCATGAATAAATCCTTGAATCAAGAAAAACATGACTTATTTCCTTTTCAGATCTTAAACTATGGCGATGTCGATGCTTTCTGGGAAAAATCTATTGACAGCTCGGTACGCAGACGTGGATGACGAGCCGGTTACTCGTCTTCTGGCACCCATTAAAGGCTATCAAGACATGCCACTTGTGTCACTTGAGAAAGCTCTCGAACCAATATCTCACTTTTTCAATGGAATCCTAGAAAACGCTTGGGTAGCGAAAGAAAATTGTCAACAATCTCTAGAAGGTCTAACCCAGGATGAATCAGCATCTATTCACCTGTACACAATGCAATTCGACGGTGGTCCCAGTCTTTTTTATGTTTTAAATCGAACTCTTCGAGCTGAGAATCGACAAGACCTTCAACCATGGTTTTCCTTTCTCAAACTTTTTCTTACAGCCTTACACAAACTTCCTTCTCATGCCCAAACAGTTTGGCGTGGAGTACGAGATGTGGATTTAAGTTCGAAATATCCCAAAGGAAAAAAAGTTGCGTGGTGGGGAGTGAGTTCCTGTACTACCAATGTTGAAGTACTCAAGAACGAGCAATTTCTGGGGAATACTGGCATTCGCACAATATTTTCTATCGAATGTCAAAACGGTAAAGCAATATCACGCCATTCTTATTTCAGTGATACTGAAGACGAAGTGATCCTTATGCCTGGATCATATTTTGAAGTAATTGGTCAACTCAATCCAGCAGCTGGACTTTATGTTATCCAACTCAGAGAAATCAATCCTCCTTTTCCACTTGTGAAACCACCGTTTGACAAACCTGCAGCATCGATTCCAACAGAAAAAGTAGCGCCATTAAAAACGGCTAATCCATCAGCAGCTATATCGATTTCACCATCACCTGGTAAGAATATTTGCACAACATTAGACAAAAAACTGACCAACAGGCACCTCAGTAACTAACAATTAGCTAGTAAATGATGATCTTGTTAACTGTTTGGAAATTCAGTACTGTTTATCAGTAATCTTCACGTTTGACAGTTGAGATGAGAGATATATCGAGCGATTCGGTCTGATAATATTTACTATAAACATTCCATAAAGTCTTTGAAACAAAGATCGGCAGAAAATGTAGATTTTTTCTGACTTCAAAAAAAAATAAATTACCAATGAAGAAGAATTTATATACCCGAGGATTTTTTATAATACTTCCAATAGTATTGTAGTTTATCTGAAAGAACAATAGTTCATTTCATTTATTTCCTATCACAACAAATAGAAGTATATGTACAATATTTGATAAGTAATGCTTGATCAAAGAGTTGCCTCTTGGCATAATCAACTTTTTGTCTGGCTTACTGTTTTTATGCTTTATACTTGAATGTAACAGTGCTCTCAGTAATTCGCATTAAGATTTTGTTTTTGCTTGGAAAAAGAAAGATTTATATCTTTGTGATTCTTAGAATAAAACAGGTTTACCATTGAAATAAGTGGTGAATCTGGGATTTCTTTTTATGTGGGACGAATCGATGGTGATGGGGTACTGTCGAGGGAACATGGTATGCTTCTATGAGAATAGAGGACGATTGTGATCATAAAACATGTTGTAAAGCTCATTAGAGGTAATGTCAGCTTAGGTTTTAGTCTTTGCTGCTGAAGAAAATTAAGCATTTTTTTTAAATGGAGACGATCGTCCTCAATGCCCCTCCCCCTAAATTCGTCACTGATTGAAGCATGTGAGTACTCATTTTTTGATCAAAAATAGCAATTGAGAAGTGAACAGCACACAGTTTTTCATAAAAACACCCATACATTAATATACTTGATTTCAATCTCACATTGAAACAACTAAAAGGTGTTTGATTTCAAACTGAATTGAGGGACTTGAAGTTTTCGGATGATATTACCTTATGTAATCTATATGCCTGTTTTTCCGAGATACGCTGTTTAAAAAGTGTTCAATAATAAATCATACATCTAATTTCCATAAACTCTTCTAAGGTAAACGCTTTTTTTTCATAAGCTCTCGCTCGGTGATAAAGATAACATACTTTTCAAGAGTCTATTATTTATTTTCGTTAATGCGTTAAGACTTTACGAAAAAGTGATGTAGGGTTTACTATTCTATACTTCTTCTACAGTGTGGGAATCTGTGTGTCTGGAAGCTTTAGAATTATATTATATTCTATACATTACATGCCTCCTTTTTTATAGGCTCCGTAGTCTGAGAGATATCTTGAGTTATTGGGTGATGTATGACATGCTGAATATTTTTTCTGAGGATAAGACATCGATGGGCATGTCATGAGTGAATTGTAATGAAGTTGAAGATTTCGGTTGTAAAGTAGTCCGAGTTTCGTGTTGTTGAGAAGCATTTATTACCAGAATTAGATTGGATTTGTGTTGAGATGTATGAATCTCTCAACTGCCGAAGAAGATTCTATCGAGTGTCCCAGAATAAATTAGACTTTGTATTTTGAATATTTCTCTTTTATTCTCCATTAGACCGAGACACATTTTTTATACTAAAAGATGACGCTTGAAATTCTCTACAAAACCATATATGGTTGAAATAGAAAAGTATTTTAGATAGATTAAATAAAAGATGGGAACTAAAGATATATAAAAAGCAGTAAAATTGAACGGATCGAGCATAATGAATAACTGCGCTTTCCATTGCATTTTTTTATTACTTACTTCGCCCTATTACAAAACCAAAATATACCAAAAGATCCAGCGTGAAAAGCTCTGCAATTCAGATAAGACCGCTTACTTTATAGCTGCACTTTTTGTTTCGACAGTGGGCAAATTTTTGCGCGATCAAATTTCGACCATGCAAAAATGGCATATTTTTCTGGTACAAGATGAATTCGTTTTCTCTTACTTCTTTTGTTATTACCTAGTACGTTTGATTTAATAGAAACAAAATACATAATAAGATGAAGCTTGAAAAGCTCTACAATTTACAAAGAATAATTATAAAAATATGAAATAAAAAAAAGGAATTCATCTTGTATCAAAAAATATGCCATTTTCACATGTTCGAAATTTGATCGCTCAAAAATTTGTTCATTTTAGAAACAAAAAGTGCAGCCATAAAAGAAGCGATTCTATCTGAATTGTAGAGCTTTTCACGCTGCATCTTTTGGTAAATTTTATTTTTGTAATAGGGCGAAGTAAGTAATAAAAAAATGCAATGGAAAGCGCAGTTATTCATTATGCTCGATCCGTTCAATTTTACAGTTTTTTGTGAGTCTTTAGTTTTCATCTTTTTTTTATTATATATGTAAAATACTTTTTCATTTCAACCATATATGGCTTTGTACAGAATTTCAAGCGCCATCTTTTAGTATAAAAAAGATGTCTCAGTCTAATGGAGAATAAAAGAGAAATATTCAAAATACAAACAGTCTAGTTTATTCTGGGACACCTGATACTATTCATGAAGCATTGCCTTCAACTTGATTTCTTATTAATATTTGGATATAACTTCACAATTAGCGAAAGAGACAAATAAGTATTATGAAGTTCATAGACACTTCAATTAAAAAAATTTATTCCTACTGAATCAGTATTTACAAGTTATACACGTGTGTTGTCCTGCTTATTTTTAGTTCAGAAATCATCAACACAGGGATCATCACCACGTATCAGCTCAGCAACAATAGCTAAGCCACTTGCTCCCAATTCATATGTACCAAAAGTCGAGACGCAAGCTGTTTCTCAAGCAACTAGTGATTCTTCTGCAACAAAAAAGTTGGGTAAGATATCGTCTTATTGAGTATTCTCTTTTTGAGAACAATACAAGAGATTTTTTCAATGGATAAAAGTCTCGTTCTTTCCGATCTCTAGCGTTTTCTTAATGTTTCTCAATTTTTTTCAGAACAAATATCAGGAATATTCTGCATGTATTATCGAATGGACGTTTTAGAATTTTTGCTTGGTGTACTTTTTTTTTAGCAAGAAGAACAACAACAATAAATGATTATTTTCTTCGAGTTAGAAAAAGAAGAGAGGCATTGACGAGAGTTTCTTCATCATTTTAAATTCAATGAGACAAGGCTCGCCAATGTATCAATAGTAGACAAACATTTCAATATTTAGATTTTGAAAATAACATTGCAAACTGTTCTACTTATTCGCGATATAAATTTTATAATAGCTTTATTGAATTTTTAGATGTTCCTTACACATCTCCAAACGGTAAATTCAAAGTCGCCGCCTGTGATATGTCATTGTATTTACAAGAGCGCATAATCTCTATTATAATTCCTGCCATTGAGCAAGGTGGTAAGGAAACTAGTATGGCTCAACGGATTAAAACGTCACTAGACACAGAGCATAAACCGACGTGGCATTGTATTGTTGGTGAAAACTTTGGTAGCCGTATTACTCCATACAAAGGCTATTTTTTGTACGTGGCATATAATAAATACCATGTATTGGTTTGGAAATCCGGTTAAGGATTCGCGCCTGTTCGAACATCTTGCGTTATTATAATATTCAGTTATAATTAAGCTTTTGTACTAGTTGAGAGGCTACAACTGATCACTGTAGCAAATGACGAAATATCTACCAATAAAGTATATATTATACTTGACTGAATTGTCTTCTCCCGAAAAGATGTTTGCATAGTGTAATGAGTTTATTTACATATATCTCTTCTGAAAAAAAATAGTTTTTTAACCCAAATTTGCAATATTGATAACTATAACTTGGTGAAATATACGTCTACACTATTGAATCGAAAATGCATTACACACAAATCAAATAGACTATCAGCACGCAAGTAAGTTACATATTCAAATTAAAAGACAACAAACATAAATGAAATAAAAACAAATCAAAAATGAAAAACTTACTTTGGATATATAAATTTGTGCATGATTGTAGATGTTCTCAATTTCACTTGTATAAATATAAAAATGGTAAAATGAATAATTTTGAAAGTCTAATGTCATCGAAGATTAAACAAATTTGAGTCTTAATACATGATTTATGCTTTGATGACATTTTATTTTTCCGATTGCGAGTAAAATAGAGAATATAGTTTGATAATGTCAATGGTCTTCATGCATTGAACATGAATCTTGAAACTAACTATGCCAACAATATTCTGAAAAAACAACTTGTTGTCGATTGAATTTTTTCATCATTACACTATTTCAAAGTCGTTTGTCTTACATCTCTGTTTACTGTATGATAATTTATAAATCTAACTAACACATGAAATAAATATTCTGAAAAAGTATATGTATTTGTTCCACATTCTGCTAATTAAAGAAATTAAACAGCCTTTATAAGTTTATTTTAAAAAATAATGAATTCGAAATCTGTCACACTTTCACGAACCGTACATTTATGTATTCATAGAGTATGAGCGTAACGAATAAATTGTTGATCAACATCAGCAGTATCGATGGAGATATAAAGCATAGACAACAGCTCGATTTCTGTACCAATGAGAAAGATTTTCAAAAGACATGACTTTCAAGAAGGTATTATGCAAAGTATTTTGTACTTGTATCTATCATCTGTTGATCACTATTCGTTATGAAACTGCTATGCAGTTCTACCTGAATTCTTTTATAGATTTGTCAGAAAAAAATATACCTCATAATAATGATTGTTACTAAGTCGTCACTTTCTGAGAGAATTATGTTTTCTTCGTGATTAAGCTATGTGGACTAATAAACAATGTTATCTTATTGAATATATGAATGTTTTATTTCATCTATAATTTTGAAGCACGAACATTGCTTGGGAGTCAATGACATTACTACGACTTCACGAACAATTTTAGATAATGCTTATTAAGATATAGAATGAAATTATTGATAAGAGAGCACTCAGCGTTCTTTTGGTAATACAAACTAAAAATGTACATAGATTTGATATTTTTCTGAAAAAAAAAAGAAAAGGATGTGGGTGTTGGTAAGTGAGTGTGGCTAAAGAGGAGATCATAATCACAGCCACATTCACTCACACCCACCCTCATGTAAAAATCACAAAAGAACGGTGTTTATCACCAAGGTGCACTAAAGTTTTTGTGCCCCTGTTTATTTAAAATGACCTTTATTTTTTTCACAAATTGAGAACTTAAAGATGTGATTACTTTCAAAATAAAATTGTAATACAAAATTTAGCATTATTGCGTTTCAGCTGGTACATTATAGTTTATGTTTTTATCTTCTTTGTATTTTGCTATTTGTATCATCCATTACAGAAGGATGAGGAAAATTAAATGTAAAATCGAACTGGAACGTTGAAACGGAAAGAGTACTACGATTGGTTTCATTAAAGGGACGAATGATCGGGAGGAAAGTAGCAGTAAACATCCAAAATACGCTGTTTTACGGTGGTATACAGTAATTTTACGCTAAAGTACCACTCGTATTCCTACGTTCAGTAAGATAGATAATTACGGGCCGTTTATGAAACGTAACAAACCATCTAAATATAATCATGATTTTTGCGATGTTATATCACAACAAATATTTTCTATAGAAATGACTTTGGATTGGATCTGCTTCAAATGATTTCTAAAAATCCGTTAATATTATTTCAATCTATGTTACAAATGTCGTCTAATTAAGTTGTATAAGATTCATTTGAATGATTATTATGGTAAAATGAGCTGTAATTCGAGAAATCATATAAAGATCAATTTTAATTCATTTTTTATTTCATTTGCATTAGATTAACTTTAGTGATTGTAATTTAGATTCTATACCGTAGAGTCAAAATATGAAGTATTCTGCATATTTCATTGAACTAAAAAGTAGAATGTCAACTTGTTTCATTACAAGCTAACAAAAGTGTCTTTTATTAACAACAGGAAGAAAATACTGTTTGGAAGATGGTAAAACGAGGACTCGGAGTTAGATTATTTCATAAATTTTATGTGAAGTAAGCATCATTTCTAATGTTTCCCTGTTCAATTCACTTTCTTCGACTGACTCTTTTATTTTTTCATTTTGGTGAGAGTAGAGCAAAATTACGCATCAATGATCATAATCATTAAAGAGGATGGTACACTTGTTTTTTTTCACATTTTTTTTTGTAATTGTATTCATTTGGGCGCACAGACAGTATATTCAATAGTTTTTTGTTCGTCCTTGGGTACTAATCATGAATAACTAATAATATGCTATTTGTATTCATTTTTGATAACTTACATAGTACTTCATGTAAAAACATGATAAAAATAAATATGCCCGACAAAATGGCTATTGATTTTGACCACCGCCGGCTCATATAATAAGAAAATTATAAGATTAGAAATGTGCTTCGCAAAAAATAAAAATTAATTGCGAAGCTCTCAGAACAAAAACAGAAAGTACTTGACTAAGTACGACTTCGACAGTCAGTTCACTTGGAAAATCACTCTAAAATCATTACATAATTAATTTTAGATGCCAAACATGTTTACTTTGAAGAAATAATTTCGTGGATTCGTTCTTTCTTTGAAGAAAATAGATATTCAACTTATTTTTCTTCTTCATCTCCATCACGACAGGATGGTAGAGGACATCAACAAGGTCCACTATTATCTAGATGGAATTCGTTTTCTTCAAATAAAGAACGAATCCACGAAATTGTTGCTCTAGAGTAAACATGCTTGACATCTAAAATTAATTATATAATGACTTAAGAGTGATTTTCCAAGTGAACTGACTGTTCAAGTCGTACATAGTCAACTATTTTCTGTTTTTGTTCTGAGAGCTTCGCAGTTATTTTTTATTTTTGTGTGAAGTATATTTCTCAGCTTATTACTTTCTTACTATATGAACTAACGGTGATCAAAATAAATAGTCATTTTGTCGTGCGTATTTAATTGCATGTTT